TTCACATTCTTTACAGAAAAAAAATAACTTAACATAACGTGATTTACAATGATACAGAAAAAATAAAAACAGAAATTAACTAGAATAAAGAATATTTAATCGTTTACAGTGGCCAAAGTAGCCAATGAGCTTTCAAGTTGGTCACTGTCATGTGTAGATATGAGTTGGGGTTGGCCGCATATTAAGTATAATTTAAATTAATAGTTACATTAAAGATGATATTGTTATCATAAGGGAAGAAAGACATACATAAATGCAGGGTAGAATAAAAGGAAAACTGCATATTGTGAAGCATTATCTTATATAGCTAACAATTCAACTATGGTCAGCTTTGAGTACTCAATATGAATCTTTTATACCGCTTTTTAATTAGCATGTATGGAAAATAATTAAATTAAGGTGGTACAGATTGCCAGATTTTTATTGCAGAGAATTAAAATGTATACATACCATAATTAGTGTGTGCTGATGGCTTAAAGAAGTTTGATGTAGAAAGTTATGCCAAAAATGTAGCAAGCCAGAAACCATGTTTTAATCTGAGACATCTGAAAGAACACATTTTACAGGAAGTAGTGAATATTGATAACAGCCAAGTACCTTTCGATGCACTATATTAACAAAATATACATGTATCTGTGACATCATGGCATGATTTATAGCTTTTAAATGATAAAATGTAATGTTCTAAACATGGCAGTTAGACACAATGCTTGTACATGTAGAAAAAATTAGAGAGATCCCTAATCAGTGACCTTAGCTATTATTAGTTTTAAAAAATATTAATTTGTTCCTTTTTTTAAACTGATCATTTAGGAAAGAGGTGCTAACAAAATAATTAATCAGCTGCCATGCAATTGGAGATATTCCTCCAGTCAGAGATACCATCATGGCAACTGACTGGAGGTGGTGTGGAGTTTGTGGGGAAAGGAATCATTGTCCTCACATCAGAGTTGTCCGCACAACTGGAAAAATTCCCTCATGGGGAAGCCTCTGTCCTGGTCCCTGAAGGTTCATATAATGAAAGGGGAAAAATGTATGCCAAGGGAAAAGCAGTGTTCAATCTATTATG